GCGCGCCCACCGAATCCACTGCCTCCGTAAGCAGTGCGACTGCCATCGTACGGGTTCGAGGTACGCGATCCATCCGCTTTCCATGCTGGAGTACGGGAACCAGCGGCGCCACCCCAAGCTGGAGCTTCATTTGGCGTCAGCATCGTCATCACATTGGGTGCACAATGAAGGTGAAACCACTTACTTCTCGAGGAAAGAGCATTCCAAGCGGGAGTTCTGGAGGAGTCGGGAGCGCCCATAGGGGTACGCGAGCCATGCCAGCCGTCTCGTCCAGCTGACGGCGCTGCGGCCGATGGGATGCGTGATCCTTTGCCGCCACGAGACATATCGATGGTTTGACCAGTAATGGGACTGCAAGCAGGTCAGTAACCAGAATCGACATCATTTGAGAATGCAGAACTCACTCTTTGACTATGACCATGTCCCTCGTAACGTTAACCAGACTGCCTTTCGACTGCAGCTCGACTCGAACTTGGTCGCCTGTGGCATCTTTGACGATGCCTAGGAGACCCTTGTAACTACCTCTCCGTATAGAAACGGTCTTTCCGATGAGACGGTCGCGTCCAAATGTCTTAGGGGGAGGTGGCATAGCAGCCCGGTTCGGTGCGTTACGCAGTGCTGGATTCATCTTGGAGAGATCTGGCCCAGTGGCTCTGCCGCCTTTCGCCGCAACCGTGACGACATTAGTGGTTCGAACGACGAAGACACCCGTATTTTCCACCTGGTCTTTGTTGTGCACGAAGACGAACGAGCGATGGATGTGGAGGATCACTCCGGTCCGCTGCTCGCCGTAAATCTCCCGAACGGTATCACCGCGACGAATTTCCGCACCATTGCGATCAGTGGCTACTGACTCCCTTCGCAGTGGGACTTTGCTGGAGATTCTTGAGGGCAGAACATCTCGAACCGAACCGTTCTGGTCAATGACCCTCACAGACTCACGATCGACCTTAATCACACAAGCGACGGTGACAGCGCTAGAAGAAGCAAATTAGCATCGGAAGGATCTGTGAAAGGGAAACATCCAACTTACTCAAGCTGCACCAGATCATGCATGTCATAAGATCCAAGTTTTCCATCGACTCCAGATTCGGTTGAAAGTCTCAGATCCTTGCTGAAAACTGTGATTTCCTCCATGGTCGTGTCACTCAGGATGGTGACACTGTCGCCCTTGACCTGGACTACCATACCCAACTCATCCTGGTACCGACTGCCGCCGATAACCCTAACATGGTCACCTTCCCTGAAACGCTTCCGGAGCGACGACATCGGCGCATCTATCTTCTGTCCTTGATTCTCACCTTCCGTGACCTCCAACGTGACGATATCACCACGGGTGGACACGGTTCGACCAACGACGCCTTGCTGCTCTCCTCGGAACACTTCAACAAGGTCACCGGGGCGGTAAGCGTCCTCTTTGTTTGTGTTTTTGAGTGTTGTAGCCAAAGAAGCCAGGTCAAGATTTGAGGTTCCATCTTCGCCTCCTCGGGCGAACATGGTAACCTCCTCCAGCGTAGGGTTCACGTCCTTCGTAATTAGATGCTGAATCTTCATATCTTTGATCAGGAAACCATCCACATAGGTCTCGCCGAGGTAGTTCCATGACTTTCCGCCCAATGTGGTTGTTGACGAGAGATATTTGCTGTGCTTCTTTCGGGCTTCTGCTTCACTGAACAGACGCTGAGGCGGACGGTTAACGACACTGTTAGCACCACCAAACCTCTTCCTCTTTGCATCAGTCGCCGGTGCATTAGAGTCCTCGTTCAATCCATAGTCGAGGCGAGGTACAAGTCTGACCGTAACCACAAGGCCATTGGTCTCGACCTCCTCAATTTGGGCCAGATCTCCCTGGTACTTGCCACGCTTGATCCGCACCCAGCTACCGGGCAAGAGCTCTTCAGATTTCTTGACTCGCAGGAGATCCGGCATTTCTTTGACTGGAACCAAAACCATCTTCGACTTGGGGTAGACGTCTAACAGCCCATCCAAGGCTTCCAAGACATCTGCCTGTCTGCGAGCCTCCACGTAGACATAACCACTCATGGCTTTACCACGCTCGAAAGCGGAGATGATTTTCAATCCGTTTCGGGAACCTGGAGGACGCTGCTCCACGCGTTTCTGAATGGCGAGAACCACATCTCGCTCCTTTCCAGGCTTGCACCGAACACCCCAGATGCTCGGATCGTCAACACTCGGCAAGAGTAATCTCCTGGGGACGACTACCGCATCTGTCTTGGCCATACGGTTGCGTCCATATCGTTCCTTCAGGGCCTGGGCCTGCTTTTCGGCATCCATGCTCGCCTCGATCTCTCGTTGGCGATCGAGTTGTCTATGCCTGCGATCATCCGTTTCCACACCGGCGGGAAGAGCATCGATGTCGTCAGGATGCACATCGGCACCGAACCCGTCACCCATGTCATCCTCATCCTCTTCGACTTCTTCGTCGTCCTCATCGACACCAGCTTCTTCCTCGACGAAGAAGGAACGCAGACCCCGCCTTCTCCTCTTGCGTGGACGGCCCTGTGCAGACAAAGAAAAGAGTCAAGTCAGTTTTATATGCTAGGGGACATTAAGAAAACGAATGATTTCGCCCATTGGCTTACCGAAACTGCGTCTTCATCCTCCTCGTCTTCCTCCTCGTCTTCCTCTTCCTCTTCCTCCTCATCTTCTTCTTCGTCTTCATCGGCAGGTTGTTCTTCATCTTCCCCTTCCTCCTCCTGACCGCCACCTTCCTCGTCTTCTTCATTCGCACCGGCGTCGTCATCTCCACCATCACCGTTCACTTCATCATTAGGTCCATCTTCCTGTTGGCCTTCATCCTCCTCTACATCTTCATTTTCCGAGTCAACGGCAGGAGCCGGATTGAAGTCATCGTCCTCTTCTTCGGACCCGAAGTCCTGATCGAGGAAGTTACGCGACATGTTGGACTCAGGGACAAGTCGGATGAGAAAGCGGGACGGAGACTGTAGAAATCACGTTGCAGTACTGCAGTGATGAGAATTCGAGCTCAACTCTGTAGAAAAGGAAGAGATGTTGGTTTTATGTTCACCAATGCGTTGCTTGTGACGGACAAGAAAGTAGAGGAAACTGTGTGGCAAGTAGGACGGAGGTAGTGATAAAAGTCGTCGAGACGATAATTCGGGAGGCTGGGAGAAATAAAGCTTGGCTGAAGCGACTTGGGTGAGTCAGCGAGGCAGTTTTTTGTCTGACTGATTGTGGCGGGTCTCCTGTCCTCTGCAGCCAGGTAATGGTGGTTGCGATTGAGGACAGTGTTCTCCTTCCACTTTGCCGCAGCGCTCGATGCTACGCTCCCAGGCGAGCACCGTAATGGGGCACTGGATGCCACTGACGGACAGGATTCTGAGCGACCCAGCGCGAATATCTGAAGACGAAGTCGTGGGTGACCAGACAGCTGGTTGAAGGCGACTTCGATTCTGGCTGAGGAGAGCTGCGGTTTACATGGGCTGATGATGGTTGCGCTTGTGGCGGTTGTCCGCGGCCGTAATGCAAGTGAAGACGCCGCAGGGTTGGCCAATCAAAGAGCGCAAAAGCTAGCCGCATTCAATCGCCTCGCTCTGAAGACGAAGAAAAGAACTCGACTAAAAGTGGACCGATAAACAATGAGACGTCATTGAATATTCACAAAGGCCTTGAAATCCAGAAGCTTTTCGGATCCCCTAAAATTTTCTGCAGATGGCGTTTAATTAGAACAATACCTAGGTATATGTGCATTACTATTCTACTATTGTTAATGCCAGGTTATATGTATAACAATGTATACGAGTGACTGTATTCAGCTGAACCAGTGCTAAAAGTACACTTCTGCGCCGGATATTGATATCCAAAAGAACCAGTCAGAGAGAACAGCGAAAGACTAAGAGAACCACCCCGTCGATGTGGACGTCCATGTGGTCTAGCGTCACTCTAACCATGAGTCTTCAAGAAGGATAATGCAATGACACTCATGCAAAACTTGTCTACAAGGAAAAAACAACAACGACAAAAAGAAAAGAAAGGCTACAGAATTTTTGGAATCATAGCTTCATGCCGAACAACTGGTGCACCCGCAGACTCTGGCGCATGCTGAGATCCAGCATGATCTCCTCACTGCCACCGGGGATCGCGTATGCGCGGACGTCCCGGTAAAGCCTCTCAATCTTGCCTCCCTGGCCGCCCCGACTGTAGCTGAGACCGCCAAAGATCTGACTGGCCTCACGGGCGCAGAACTCGAAGGTTGTGGTGGCCTGGGCCTTGAGGCCTGCGATGGCTCCACCCAGCTTGAGCATCGCCTCTGTCTCATCCATCGACTGACACTGGTAGATGATATTCTCGAGCCAGTTATACGTAGCCTCAATCTGACGGGCCATGTGGGCCAGTTTCATCCGAATGACAGGATGATCGATCAGCCTCTTGCCAAAGGTACGGCGCTTGTGGGCGTATTTGACTGATTCCTCATAGCAAACGCGAGCAAAACGAATGCACTGGATGACGATACCGATCCGCTCGTGGTTGAAGTTCATCATAATCACTACCATACGGTCAGTAAGGTCGATCGCGTGGTCTGGCAATAATAACGGTCAGAGAGAGGAAAACCCACCCTTAAATCCCTGGTTCTCCTTGCCCAACAGGTTCTCAACAGGCACCTTGACATCTTCAAATGTGACATAGGTCGTGCCACTGCTCCAGACACCCTGGCAATCCATTCGGCGAGTGCTGACACCACCGTGTTCCCTCTCAATGAGCAGGACACTGATTCCGTTCATGCCAGGGCCCCCTGTGCGAACCGCAGTGGTGAAATAGTCGGCCCAGACACCGTTCGTAATCCACTTCTTCTCACCGTTGACGATGTAATACTTGCCGTCGGGAGTCAGCTTCGCCTCGCAGGTTATATTGGCAACATCACTGCCCGCATCAGGCTCAGTGATGGCAAGACAGATGCGCTTGTCACCGGCCAGGATGCCCGGCAAGATCCTCTCGACCAGGGATTTCTTGCCAAATCTGACGACGGGGGGACACCCGATACCGAAACCACCGATCAAATTCCAGACGAGACCTCCGCTAGCAGCACGAGAAATCTCGTCAGTGAGCAGCATCTCGTGGAAAAGGTCCCACTTCTCCGGTGGAACAGATTTGACCCGATTCTTCGTCAGATGTACTGGGTAGTGAGTACCCAGCAGACCAGCTAGGTAGCCTCTTTCACCCATCTGCTTGTATAGGTGATCTGGAATCTTCTTGGCTTCATCCCACTCCGTAACATAGGGCTCGATTTCCGATTCGACCCACTGACGAACTTCTTCGCGGAGGGCCGCATGAGTCTCATTGAAGTATGGTGAATGGTACTAAGGATTTTTTTTCCACCGTCAGCGAATCCCCCGCAGGTTGAAGGAACAGGAATCCAGCATATTTTCTGTAGGATAGCTTACCCCTTGGTACCAAGCAGGGTCTGCAAATGGAATGAGATCGCCGTACGGGTCCAGCGCGGCCTCTGATTTGGCGGGCTTTGCGTCGTTGAGCGCCTTTGTCTTGGAGGAGTCCTGCGTTGCAGCAGGGGTCGCTGGTGGCGAAGGAGGAGCGGCGGCTTTCTTGGAGTCAAGAGATCCGATCTGCAATTGTCCCTTGTACTTCTTCAAGATGCCCTCATTGTGATATTTCCAGAATTGCTTCGAGGCGTCTTTCCCCGCCACGCGCTGGAGAACTGTACCGGGAGAGAAATCAGCAACGGACGCAAATCGCTAGGGCGCGGAGACACCGGAGTAAACTCACTCTTCTTTCCACCTAGATCGCACCAAGCAAAATATGTCAGCCAGCAAATCCACATGAAATCTAATCCTCTGGAGCTTACCTGGATGTTCATCCTGGAACTTGGTCAGGTCGTAAACATCCTCGTCGATGACAACCCAGAGGCTGTCCGGCTTGTTATGCGATGCTACGTCGTCTTTGGTGAATGTTTTCGACATTGTGATTCTCGCCTCGTAAAACTAGGATCTGAGCAAGGATCGGCCTGTGAAGAGGGAGAGGGACGGGGGTCAAGGTTTCCAGGGAACGGCGGAGGAAGTGTTAAAAAAATGCAACGGCGGATCTTTAATAGTTAAATATATACCACGATAACTGCGCATTTCACATTCCTCTGGGGCCAGAGAAATACTAACGAGGGCCGGCTGTTCGGGGTTGCAGATGGAATAATTTGGGGAATCTTCACATGCTTGCCGTCTGCGCATCCGTCAGCGGGACCCCTCGGCCGACAAATGGCCGGGGCGTGACAAGGTCACCAGAACGGAGTTAGGTGTTAGTTAGTACCTATGGCAGTAAGCGACGCATGCAAAAACGTCCCACCAGCCCCGGTCGTCTCGGAATAATCAACAGCCCAGCGTGTTAGGGCCTGATAAGCGCTTCCTACTCCGGAGTACCTCTGCACGTTGCTGCGGCGTCGGCAGTTGCTGTTTCCAAAACAGGAAAATGCCGAGGTTCACCAGGATCGCAGGAGCCACATGCCACGTGACACCGGGCTTAGCTGGCGACGGGAGCGAGCCAGCGGCAAGAGTGCTGTTATAGGCAAGTGACTCGTGAGGATCGGCCCTTCCATGTGAAGACGAGGCGAATCGACCGCCTTGTTCTCCGTGATGACAAATTAGGCAGTTGTGATTGCAGCGCTCTCAAGCAGACCCCTTACATTCTTATTACTTAGCGGGTAGGTCGTCGGCCACATGACTGAGGACACGTGAGATGAGATTACTCTGATGTAAGCCAGCCAGAGCTGGAAGGGCGACAAAAGACATTACGAAGTGCTTTAATAACGAAGGCAACTAGAATATAGGGATATAATTCAAACCGCAGTGGCTAAAGTCTGCTGCCCCAGATACATGCCCGACAGATGCAAAGTAACTCTAGTCATACACACAGGATCTAGCATACGCTGCCCAACAGCAGCTCACATTGCATCTCCAGGAAGCCCTCTAATCCTCTTCCATATGGTCTGTCTCGTAGTCAAACTCGTGGGGGACCGGGCATCTTCCCCGCCTCTTCGTCTTCATCCACTGCCGTCAACACGCCTGCTGCCAGAGCAGCTCCGGTGGGAGCGCCCGCTCCAGTCCGCTCCGCGCCTCGCTGGGGGGTCTGGAACGTAGGGACGCCAGCCGCGGCCGCCTGGAGGCGGTCCTGGAGCGTCTCCGGTGCTGCTGCTTGTCGGCCCTCCGTACTGGCCCGTAGCTCAATAGTTTCCCGCGGTTCTTCAGGCTTTTTATCCAACACGACGACGACTCCTCCCGTGGGCTGCAACGCAGTTAGTCCAAAGGAACTTCTACTCTCATAGATCCTGTGCAAGGAAAGACTTACCCTCTTGACGGGTTCATATCTCGGGTCGGGGAAAGTCAGGAATTTCAACTGAGCCGGAAGCACTCGCGACATGTTCTCGAGTTCATACCCGACCTTCTCCTTCTCCACCTTCTTCTTCTGGGCGTCCGCCGCTTCCTTGTCCTCCTTGGCCTCTTCTTCACCCTTCGCGGTGCCCTCATCTGTTTCCATCTTCTCGGGCAACTGACCGGAGACCTTCGGGGTAGTAGGCGTCTGGTCAATATCCATGCTCTCCCGCCGTTGTTGCTTTTCGCGACGCTGTGCACGCCGCTTCGCCTGCACCGTCGTGGACAAAACAGCCGTTTTGACCTTCTCTGGAGCCTCGTCGGCCTTGACCTGTTGTTCAGGCGGGTAATCAAACAGGCTAGGTCGGGTGTTGCTGTGGAACTTAAAGACTGGCACCTCCAGCTTCTGGTCAACGCCGATAACAGCCGTTGGCGTGAAGCTGAGAGAAAGGAAGTGTGCCAGAGGGAACCAATACCAGTATTGCGTAAAGACAGCCGCCCCGACAATTCCTGGCATGTTGAGATTTCCAGTCTGAGTCTGCAGGCTAATGGTGCAGTTTCGCCCACCAGCGTCGATGATACCGAGGGCAAGAGCACATCCGAACTTGGCCATGGCATCTTCGTGTCGGTCTCCAATCATCTTCATCATGGTCTTGCGAATCGTGCCAACCTTGGGGTTCATCGTCTCATTTTGTTGGATCAGGACCATGGCCAAGGCGATCAGGGCTCCTTGTCTCACGAAGTCGGTTGGATCTTTCAGCATAGGTTCCAAAAGATCGACAGCCTCATCCAAGCCGGTGCCAGCACAGGAGATACCGAGGGCCATTGCAGCACCATACCGCACATGCGGGTTGTATGATTCGGAGAGCAACTCAACCATACGCGGCACGCTCTGATACTTTCTGAAGAGGATGAAGCCCAAGCTCAACACGGCCACTCTCCGGACGTCGTCGTTAACATCGCTAACGGCGACGTGGAGGAGCTTCCGGACGGCTTTGTTGCTTCCAGTACCGCAATATGCCAGCGCGATGGCCATGATACCACCATAGCGGAGTGTTGGATCCGGATCACCAAGCAACCCGTTGATCAGTTCATCAGCAGCTTCCTGACGACCGTACATGATGAGTGCCATGCCCATGGCCAGACCCCGCACGATTTTCTCGTGCTGGGTCTCGTGAGCATATTGCACCATCTCCTGCAAAGCATTCATGTTTCCGGTTCCCAACATGACGAGACCCATCGCAAGACCAACTGCCTCGCCGTTGAGGGCAGAGTCGGTGTAGAGAACACTCTTAAGGTCTTCCCAAATGCCTTCATCACCAGTCGCCATGCCTGCAACACCCAGGCCCAGAGCACCACCATGCTGAACGACTTCTTCCGTAGCTTTCTTGAAATGATCCCGAATAAACTCGACAGCCGAGCCACCGTGGTTTGCATAGATCAATCCGAACGCGTAGAGGGATCCTCCTTGACTGTAAACAGAACCAGTGCTTCCGACGCCGGAGATATGCTCCTTTGGCAAATAGGGAGTGAGTAGTCTCTGCCCTTGCGTTAAATTGCCACGATGAATCACACCGAGAGCTGCAGTTGCTGTGAACTTTGACCAGTTCACAGCCTTTCCAAGCCATTCTAGGTTATCCCGGAAGAATTTGTCATGGGTGGTTCCGGCATGCATGAACGCATTGGAAAGCGTGACAGCGGTGTGGAAAATAGAGTTCCTAGCTTCCAGGCTGTCTCGGACCTTGTTGAGGATCGCGATGTCGGCTTTGTTATTGCGGTACAGGAACTCAAGGTTTAGTTGAATGGTTTTGACACCGTCAAGAATGTCGCGGATCGCTTTGAATGCATTACGGGCCTCCTCTGAAAGCTTCTCTCCATTGGCACCCAAGGATCTAGGGGACGACTGATTCTGTAACAGAGGATCTGATTCTTTTGCGTCGTTTTCGTTTCTTTCCGCGTTGTTTGCGGCGTCACCCTCTTGTACGAGCTCTGCAATCTCCTGGCTGACCTTTTTCAGGAACTCCTGCGTGCTATTGTCATAAAGATCAAAGGAAATTTGATAAGCCACAGCGAGCGATCTCGCATCACCCTTCTGGACGAGCTGACGTAAAATATCTGTTGCCATAGAGTGCTCATTCAGATAAACAACGCACTTGGCGATTGAAAAGTAATCCGGTGAAGGAATCTCGTTCAAAAGCTCTAGAATGAGCTTCAGAATCTGCCCAGCAACGAAAAATGTCAGCAAATGGAAATCATCAATAGAACCAAAGGTGACAAACCTCATTGCGGAAACCCCGTTCCTGAAGGACACCCATACAGATATCCAGCACATACTCCATCAATTCTTCACACCGTCTTGAAGACTCCCCTTGCTGTTTCTCGTCCTCTCTGCAACGCAGGATCGCTCTTCGGAGAACATCTAAGTTCTTTGCCTCGATTGCTATGCCGACAACTTGGCGATAGCGTTTCTGACGGAAGCATTGTTCGAACAGTCGTTCAATGACAGCTTGAAGCTGACCCTGAACCCCTCTCTTGACGACCAGAGGGACCTCCACCTGCTTCACGTTTGCATTCTCGCCGCCGGGATAAGAGGTATCAACATTGGAATCCTCCTGTCGAGAGAGCAACGATTTTGAAGGCAGGGTGGACTGTGAAAAGGGGGTTATCGGAGATGTAAGGCTCGCAGACGTACTCGTGGCGCCGTTCGATGTAGTGGGAAATGCGGCGTTAAGATTCACTGGAGTTTCGCCAACACTGGGCTTATGGCTCGCTGAGAGGGCGATAAAGGTATCCACGCATTTTGCTAGAATAAAAAGTTAGTCATACCAAAAGGTCTATGATGGATCCAGGCAGTTTACCAATAATGGTCTCTTCAAACTCGCCGCCGTTATCCAAGTTCAAGAGCTTCCCAGCTCCCAGAGCAAACACCATACTCTCGTTATATTCCTGAAGATGGTAGTACACTTTCGAGGCGACCAAGGCAGCGAGCTCGCGCTCAGGAAACGTTTCATCTTCATACAGTGCCTCTCTGGAAAACGATCACTGTTAAGCCACATTCTTGTCTCGCAAAGACTAGATAGCAGATAGAAATCGCAGACAACTAAGACAGACTTCTGGAGCTTATGACATACATTTGAGGAATAGCATCCACGATATCCGGCCAGAGCACATCGACTTCGGCATCTAGAGTTTTCAAGGCGAACACTTTGAGCTCGGGGTCGGGCTCCGAGAGAAAGCCAACCAGGCCGGCGGCGTTAGTAAGGCCAACCATCTCTTCGCGCGCTCTAAGATGTCAATATATCGACGGAAGTAGCTGGTTTGAATATCGGATCCCCGGTGCCTCCACCGGAGCGATGAGGCGATGTGAGCTGGTCGCAGATAGCTCCGAAAGCGCGGGAGAGCTTGAAAAGGAGGTCGAGCTCTAGGACAACAGAAAGAAGTCACCTAAACTGGTGTTTAAGTGACTAGAACAGGGTGGAAGAAGATGGATTCAAATGAGTGGGAAGGTTGAGTTTGCAAGCTCTAGGCGCGAGGCACACGTCAACGCCGGAGCTGACCACGAGTGGTTCCTGCAGAAGCCCCTACTGGCGTCACGTGACATTACACTTGCGCTGGGCCCGCCTCGGGCAACACGGGCCAGGCCCAGCACAGCTCGAGCAAGAGGTCACAAGCTCGACGGAGTAGCTGGATCTGCTTCACTACTACCTGTCTGTCATGCGCTTGCGCAACGCGCAGGTCATGAGGAAGGTTGGCTCACATTTATGTTTCGGGTGTGATTTCCTTTACACTGCGCGTTTTCTTTTTCGAGAATATTTCTAAGGTTTTGGCGCTGTGTTTGTGCCCTTGCGGACTTGTTCAAAATAAACAAGCTGTCGTTTTAACTGTTGTACGCTGGCGTACAGAGAAATAGAAGCAATATAACTTCGTCAGGATGTCAACGCTCTTCTCCTATTCGGATATACCGCTCCCGGACAGGCGCAACGCGCCTGTGCCTCTCGAGGCGTCTATGCAACACAATGATCCATTCCTCTACGTCGAGCGTCAAGCGCGACATCTCCAACAGAATATACAGAGTCTCCTCGATGCCCAAAGTGAGGGCTTGCTCGCTGGTCTCTCTGGCCCTCGTAACGACGAGGCCTTTTCTAATGGAAGTTCGACGCCCACGGTTTCTGGAGTCAGTAGCCCCAAAGGGGCGCCAACAATACCTGTCAGGCAGCCCCCGAAGAAAAAGATCGGCCTGCGCGCTGCACGCAAGGGTATTCTGAGGTCTATGCATGAGTTGCTGAGTGTCAAGGAGGAGGAAAAGAGAATAATTGCGGCGCGAATACAAGAACGACGAGATGCCATAAGGGAAGTGGATACGTTCATTACCAAGCAACAAGGTCTCCAAAAGACGATATCGGACATCCAGAATGGTCGTGATGGACAAAGGACCGGTGAGCTGAAAAAGGAAGCTCGAAATTTGGAACGGGAGATCGAGGAATTGGAGCATAAGCTCTCAGAAATGAGGGCTAGATACCGCCACGTCGTCCAGGAGATCTCGTACACTGAGAACTCCGTGGAGGCGAAGCTGTCCTCTTACAAGAATTCCCTGTCCCTTCTTGAATCTGAAGTCAGACAGTATTTGCAAAATCCGCCTTTGGAACCATTACCGTCGACGCCCGCCGAGTCATCTTTTTATTCCTTGAATCCCAAGCGGCGTACACTGGAGATGGCGCGAGAACACTGGAGAACCGAACAGGCAGAATTAAGAAAGAGACAGCGGGGAGTTGATGCGGAGATAAGAGCGCTGGAGGAAGGCGGACCCGTGTGGCAAAGCGTGATTGCCGAAGTTTCCAACTTTGAGAAGCGGTTGAAGGAGGAGATGCAGCGCTCTATCGGACCTGGGTCTGCCGAGGCTCGTGGAGGTAATGTTGAAGAAGCTCGGGATAGAGCGAAGAAGATCATTGAGGACATGGATGAAACGGCCAATCGACTCGAAGAGAAACTCGACCTCGCGGAAGAAAAGAACTGGAGGTTACTTGTTTGTTGCATCGGCGCTGAGCTAGAAGCTTTCAAGGAAGCAAGAGCAATGCTTCTCGATACGTTTCACTTGTCAGAGGAGGAGAACAAACAGACGACCGAAGTGGACAAAAATAACGTAAAAGGCCGTGAAGGCGGGGAAGCTGCTGCTGATGATTCTGTCAGTGAGGATCATGCAGACGAACCACCAGCAGATCTGTTGAGAGATATAAGCCCATCGCCCCGCCACGGGGCTATGAGATCAGAGGACGAAGATGACGGACCGGACCCCGCATGGCTGCTTTCTGATACTTAGTCTCGCATCTTCATGAATGACACTTGATGGCATTTCTACATGATTTTTACAGATGATAATGCGTATCCTAATGTATGTCCTGGGCTTGTAGATCATCGATAACTTAATCTAGTGGACTGGGATCAAATGCCAAGATAATCTAATTATTAGCGTGTCGGAGCTCCACCACTCTTCCGTCGTAGTTTAACTGACGTAGAACTGCTGACAACGAAGCCTATGAGGGCAACGCCCTCAGTTCCTTCATCGACGACTCTTCCCTGATGGATGTTGGCAGGCTGATCCGGACCCAGTCGGAGTGCTTGCGATGAGCCTGCCGTCGCCAACGTTCTCATTTGCCATTCCTTCTGTGTACGATAGTACTCGGCTTGAATGCCGCCTCTTCCACCCAAAGCAGCATGGACGACAACAACCCACTGGAACCTGGACAAAGAGAGGCGCTATCGTAGCTCATCCTTACGCCCCTCTTGGAGGATGCTGTGACGACCCTGTGGTACACTCCGTTGCTGGGCAGCTCCTGCAGCTGGGATATATCGTGTGCACGTTCAACTTCCGGTAAATGGCTCCGGCGAACCCGATCCCAAGGAACTGGTCATGTCTTCATGGATATCATTACAATAGGGAGCGTACTGTTTACTGATACCGGCTTCTTCTGCACAGGGGAGCAGGCGACTCCGAAGGACGGACTAGTTGGACAGCGAAGCCTGAGGTGGGAGACTATGTCTCAGTGTACGGTTTCATGCTAGAATACCTCCGCAGGTTGGACATGCATCCATCTTCCAGAAATAGGCCAGACGATCAACATGATCAGGGTTCAGCAGCCTCAGGAGCTAGGAACGACCAAGGCAAGGAGCCATCCTGGGAGATTGAGTTGATACTAGGCGGATATTCGTACGGTTCCATGATTGCATCGCATCTCCCTAAAGTTGAGGATGTCTTGAATCTTTTCGCCAATCCTTCCGATTCATCTCCAGCGAAACTTATCTCTTTAAAAGCAAAGGAGTTGTCGAAGGCCTGGAACCAAGAGCATCTCAAGCAGACCCCGGAAAGCGCAAGTGGCGCAAACAGAATGACAGTGCCAAAGATTTCCTATCTATTGGTGTCTCCTATTCTGCCACCTGTCTCGCTGTTTGTGACAATGTTCTCCCGTGTGTCGTTCATCTCTGGAATGAGCCCCGGTCTCTCTCTCCAAGGGGCGCATGTGCCGACACCATCGCCTGACGAACAGCTCCGCACATATCCTACCTTGGTCATCTATGGCACGAGTGATATTTTTACCCCGCACAAGAAGATACGGAGATGGGTGGACACACTACGTAATGTGCCCGGCAGCAAGATCGAGAGTCGAGAAATCGAAGGGGCGGGGCACTTCTGGGTCGAGCGCGATACGGAGCCGCAGATGAGACGGGCGCTGAGAGAGTGGCTGGCTCATAGGCGGTAGCATTCGCGTATGGATCTGAGAAAAGCGGCACCTTTTTTTTTTCGTTCTTAGATAAAGTATGCCCAGGCAATAGGGATAGAGGTTTCTTGATGTAGAGTTGAACACGCGGATGAAAGATCAGCTTAGAAGAGCATTGAGAAAGACTATATCCACATTTGCTCCCATGACCCAGCCAGCGAGCCGGGGTAATATCGAAAGAGGGGCCTCGTGGACTCTGCAATGCAACCCAAGAATTAGGATACTTGGGCGCCCGATACGGAGTACCTACCCTACCTAAAATAGACGTTTCGATCTAGGCTGCATCTTGTATCTACAGTACCTACATACACTCAGAAGGGACTGAACTAATTCTCATTATTCTAGTTAGGACTATGTTCAGTAATATAAAATATCTGGACAATAAAATCTACATCGTACTGTAGAGGCTGGTGGGAAAAGATGACGCAATGGATGCCCATCACTGTGCGCGGTGAGTCAGCGGCCGCGGAATCTGCACCCCGCCAAAGGCCCAACTGCTCCGTAACTTCCCCGCGTGATGCAAGGGCCGCCTAATTGCTTGCCGGCACGGGCCTTAGTTGGGACTTGGACTCTTTAGTTCGCTCACTTCAGCGGGCGATCGACGGGCCCCCGGCCTCGGCCTCGTGACATGCCATTCCCAACAAAATAAGCAGCACTCTTCCCTTCAACTACCCACACATCCACAAAATTGGTCCCTTTTCTTGCATACTTCCCCCTTTTATGATTTAATCAGTTCCTGTCGGATGGGTTGCAAGTCATCCCAGCTGAAGGCTCTGTGCACGAGCCAAGCATGACACCCATCCGCGATCCTTCCGCTATTCATTCGCAGTTGCATCGCAAAAGTAGTGTCCAAAATGAGACGGCAAATCCCTCCGAATCGTGGCAACATGGCAGTCTGGGGAAACGGACCTCCATTGCCGCCATCTCGTCGTTGGTTCGCGACTCCGTGACATGGGCGGGAGAGGCGCTTAGCGCTTATCGTGATGGATCCTCCAAGGAGGAACGGGAGAGGAAATTGCGACTGGAGGAGCGAAAGCAGATCCTGTACCTGAAGATGCGCAATGTGAGTGTGTGGATGATATTGATAATGGCAAGTTCTGACTAATGTATTTTGTGTCTCACAGGCCATGTCCTTTGATGAGTGGCGGAGCTGCGCGTGCGAGCTGGACGAACTCGAAGGGAACAATGCCTGGAAGCAGACGTTTGAATCGGACGAATACAACCCGCGGCTTGTCTGGGAACGCATGAAGCAGCTGGAGGAGGCACGGATCAGCTGTGATATAAGCAGGATGGTGTTTCTAGTCCGCACGGCATTGAGTCGCGACCTTGGCGGCATGTGTAACGCCAGTCTCTACCGGCATGCACATGTGGGTACGAAGAATTTGATCGATCAATACATTACCACTGCACTCGACACAATCTCGACCCTCGTGGATCTGTCCGGTAGCGACCGCTGCGACCTGTCGGAGATGCGGTATATTCTCGACCAACTCCTGACGGCTCGTCAAGCCTTTGGCCGAAGTGCTCTGCTACTGTCTGGTGGTGCCACGTACGGCATGTGCCATATTGGCGTGCTTAAGGCGCTTTGTGAGGCCGGACTCGTGCCCCGCGTGGTGTCCGGGGCGTCAGCAGGTAGCATCGTAGCCGCTGTATTCTGCACCCATACCTACGATGAGCTCCCGGCCATCTTGGATCGCTTTGCTTATGGTGACCTTGCCGTCTTCGAGCCGGAAGGACAGCAGGAATCCGCATTGCAGAAAGTAGCAAGGTTGCTCAAGTATGGGTCATTCTATGAAATTCGCCATCTGGAACGAGTGATGCGAAACTGGCTGGGGGATATGACCTTTCAGGAGGCTTACAACCGGACCAGAAAGGTCCTGAATATATGTATCTCCAGCGCTGGTCCTTACGAACTTCCCAGGCTGCTAAACTATATCACCGCGCCTAATGTGCTCATCTGGTCTGCAGTGTAAGCGAGAGACTCCCCTTTCACTTGTCCTGAGTCCGTTTCCCTGATGATTCTGACTCTCTACAGCGCCGTTTCTTGTTCTGTGCCGGTCGTGTTTTCCCCGTCTGTTCTCATGGCAAAGGATCCGTTAACTGGAGAAGCGGTCCCTTGGCACGACGATCGCCGCCAGTGGATTGATGGCTCCGTCGACGGCGATGTGCCAATGACCCGCCTGGCGGAGATGTTTAACGTAAACCATTTCATTGTATCCCAAGTGAATCCGCATGTTGTGCCTTTCCTTGCGAAAGACGATGGTCCTGGCAGCGATTCGAGTCGACGGCCGTGGTTAGCTACATTGACAAGCCTGGCAAAGGAAGAAGCCCTCCACCGGATGGGCGTGCTGTCCCAGATGGGTATTTTCCCGAACGGGTTCACCAAGGCAGCATCTATTCTTAGCCAGAAGTATTCGGGAGACATTAATATCTTCCCAGAGATCCTCTATACACATATTCCACGCATACTCAAGAATCCCACGACCGAATTCATGTTGCAGGCATGTCTGAGTGGCGAGAGAGCGACGTGGCCTAAGATAGCTCGCATTAGGAATCATGTTGCTATCGAACTTGCTCTTGATTCAGCAGTCCAGACAATGCGGGCCCGGGTCGCCCTTAGTCCCGGACCAGTGGTAGCTTTGGGCGCCCCGACTTGGAGCCGAGAGAGGAGTCGCAAGCTACCCCGACGAAGAAGCTCTTATAGCCATGAGTCGGATAGATTGAAGGCCGGGAGAGCGACACCGAGTCGTCGCTCCAGTGTACCACTGAGAAAAGCTCGCAGTTCCATGTCTATAGAATGTGTGCCGTTTGAACAGCCGCCTAGTCCGGTTGCCTTTCGCCAGCAGGTGAAGGGACCAGCTGAGAGAGGACAAAGTACCGACCAGTCCCAGCCCCCTGCCGAATCGCATTTCACTGTTGTCTCTGACAGTGAGGATGAGACGGCGTTGTCTCCCGTCACACGACGGCCGCTTGCTGTGCATAGTACTACCTGGACTCCTTCGTCGACTCGCCCTGGGTCGCCTCGTTCGAGCAGAGCGAGCCCTGTCAGGTCGCGTCGGCCGTCTGTGACCAAGGTGGTCGCACTGCCTGCAAGGCCGCATGCCTTATAGGTCCCGGCCCTGCCATCGCCAATGTGAAAGCGACATATCCGTGTTCGAATTAATTGACCTCCAGGCGGATGCATGCCGTTGCACCCGAAAGCCTTTCAACCAGGGTCTCGCAGAGCGATCAGCAGATTGCTCGACATATTATTCGATACCAATAGTTTGGTCGCGAGCGTCAATTGATTTCTTCCTATTGGAGCAATGTCCTGTCGGCTCAGCGACTGCAGCGACCGTGGTCACGAGACTTGGTCACCCATGTAGAGGGGGCTGAGGAGGTGAGGGGCGACCCCCAATAGAGTAATAGTTCACGCTCGGCAGGAATGGACCCTGGACACTTGCTGAGACCAAGCTTTGTCCCACCCTGCGTGAGGACACGAAGAGGGCTCTGGTTTTACTTCATATTACGGCCCTACAGTGTTGAAATGCCGGAAATCTATGCATCACGACCTCGCTTCTTGAGAAATCACACAGCTTTCTATGCGGGGGATCATCCGCAGACGACGTGATACCGAGTTGGATTGCGATACTCGTGCTGTTGCCTGCGAATCTCTGTCGGGTTCAGAGGGCAACATTTGTCATACTTGTGTTACACCTGTGCATGTGCATCGACTGCATCTCTCCTTTTCTGATTCCCTCACTTTTATTTCTTTACCTATTCTTTTTTTTTCAGCTTGCATGTTCTGCATTGGATAGAGGCATGAATTGCACAATCGGCGTTGGGTTGCCAACAAAGCATCCTTGTTTTTGGGAGACAGGCGGCAAACGATATTCGAGCATTTCCAATCAGCAAATACCAGCGACGGGGAAACGATCTAGAGGAACCCTAGGATGGATGATGTGCTTTCAGATGCCTGTATCGTTTCTTTTCCTTGTGAATAGTTGCAAGTCGGCGCCAACTGAGTTGGTGGATGTATATAACTAGCCCTTCATTTTTAAGAGATCTGGGAGACGGTATATACTTGCGGGGCAAGGCTTCCACCCCCAGGCTGATCAAGATGACTGTGACAGTATGGGAGCACGGATGATCGCCATTGCCATCTCCAGACTCGCAGTCTAGTCTGCAGGATCCAGAGGGAGGCCTTCTTTTCGGCCTAGCGAATACTGACTCAGACGGAGGATTGATTATCAGTAAATAGTGTATTTATTATTAGGCTGGTCTCTGCAGATACCACTGTTTACCTGCAGAGTTGTCCACTTAGGCAGGGTTAGAGGCAGGTCCAGAACAATAGCAATTAATTAATCGTCTGTACTACCTTACAGCGGCCTATGAAAGTGCTGCGCCGCAAGGTTGCACTTGTCGTCTTCGCAGGCAGGCTAGATGCTGGCTAGAAATTAAGTCATGCCCTTGACTGGCTGACCCTCACTTCCATCCATGTAAACGCGCAGGATTAATAATTGCGAACTGAAATAGCCCTCCGCCCTGGGCATAGTCTGCCTTGGGCGTTTCAAGCCCATGTACTCCGGATCTAAACAAGCTTGGAGGGACAGCAAGATCCAATTTTAGCACTGGCCTGACTCGACAACGCGACCGGCTGGTCTGGAGGATGACCGGCCATTGGCCTGCGGGGTTGGCTGGACAGGCGGTTAGATGCAGCACGGCGGGTGGCACAGATAGCTGCAGCTCTCTATCTTTGGCCTTGCATACTGGATCGCACTGCCATCTACGCGTCTAACGACAGCTGTGATTGTTATCTCTGGCCAGAATCAGTTCTGTGCCACATGAACTACCGGCATCTTGCCCAGTCCCAGGCTGCCTCCGCATCTCTTCATCATGAAGGCAGCCTCGCGGCTTCACGAACCGACCGAACGAAGGCACCGGACCTTGCTCCCCGCACTAGCCTGCAAAGCGCCTTGCGACCTCGTTGGCGGACTGTCGCAGACTCACGGGCAATCGCCGCGTCAGATCTACAGTTGACAGGCACACGATACCCACCATGGCGCTTAGCTGGCTTGGCCTGCGACCTACGATTCTAAAATTGTCCAGGGTCTGGATGTCGAGGTTGGCCTGCGCCAGACTGTCAATATGGATAGTGCAACGTTCATGGCCATCGTCGCTGCAGACCCCTGCTGTTGTGTCGCGCTTCTATTTCAGACACAGCGCTTGATTTATCGATCTCCGGACGAGACGAGCTTATAACTACGAACCAGACCACACCCCGAAGAAACGAAACATCGAGCCACTCGATCTACCTTCTTTTAGTTGTTTCCTGCCCTTTCTTTGCGGGCTGTTGCTTGGATGGTTTGATCGTTTCTTTGCTCTTTCTTCGGTTCTCCGCTGTCAGGCTGTGAGCGAGGCCTTGGCTGGTCCTTGCATTCACAGCCTTCCTTCCTATCGCGAGAATAGGTTGACTCAAAAACACCTGTTCTCTTCTCCTCCATATATCGACGGACTTAAGGCGTTGCTTATTCATGACAGTCTCGTGACTCAAATGTGGAATCTCTAGAACATCCTTGAGTTCGTCTAGCGTTTCCCCTCAATGGAATTGGATTTTGACGAGCGTGAATTCTGACTATACATTTATTAACAGCGGAATATTTGCCTGAAACCTCTAGTCTGGTTGTTTGTTAAGACTCTTCCCTCTACGATTTCGAGTTTTTTTCCGTCCTGGTTCCCTTAAGTGCGTGTGAATTTGGTAGACCAATGGCCAGCCTCGTCAACAGCTCCCTCGATCTTCTCCGCAGACGCAAGACACAGAAACATCCCCAACTTCATGCCCGATGGGGGGATGTGAGCATCTCCGCTCCCACCGAGGGAGCCTGGACGCAGTTTAACAATCCATATCAACGCGAGAAGGTGAATTATGGGCCTGGCTTTGTTCCCGGCTGCAGCGCGGATGATGATAATTCTTCCGACGGGGAAGAGGCCTCCCAGGAGAGCCGCTCTAAGAAGAGCGTTCTCAAGTCTCGCCGTCTCACACGCATTCTAGCACCGTCGACCCTCAACACGACTAGTTCAAAGAAATCGCAAGAGAGAGAGAACCAGACCGGATTTGAGTACAAGCCTGTCCGTCCCGACTATGCACAGGAGGTCGCAGAGAACGTCGATAAACAAAACGTCCCTCGCTTTCGCTACGTGCCTGCCAGTCAAAATTATCTACGTGATCTCGTAACAGACCTCCAACCAGAGACAGAGGCGGTGAATCTTCAACCAGCCCGAAGCCGGTCATGTGAACCTCCAGCTGTCACTCTTGACGAGCAGAGTCTGAGATTACAGCCCCGAGGGGTGCAGGAGACAATGGGCAGAGACTATCGGCGGGGCCTATCATCTTCTACCATGCCAAGACGAACTTCTCACGATAGCAATGTTTCTGGCGTGCGAGAGGAAGAGCGAGTCAAGCAGAAGAAAAAGACTGGGTCGTCTCTTCAACGATCGCAATCGACCATGAAGCCGCGTCGTCCGATGACACTGACGATGGTGTCAGACCCAGACGATTTGTGGTAAAGCAATTCAAAGACGGTCGAAATGAAAATTACGATTTCCTTTCTGTATCAGAGAATGAGGTGTTGGTGGAGTCTTCCTATCAGACTGGATTCTCGCTGGGCAGGTTGCCTGGCTTGAGGATCTGTTCCTCTCTATTTATTTTCCTTTTTCGGGAGGTGGGTCGGCGTCGGTTGCATTGTTAATAATATACCTAGAATAGTATCCATTAAGAAATAAAATCCGAGATGGCCATGGTTCGACTGTGTCTCATTCGCGGGATTGGGCTCGCAAGTCTTCTCCAGGCCATGACGGCATAGGAACGTCGATAAGATCCGCGCCCAACTTAAAATGCGGGACTATATACACACATCTTCGACATTGAAAATGTACCGTCACATATTTTATTTTTGACTTCTTGACTCTTTTGATATAATTTCTATTGCTTCTACGTACATGGGATCTATATAGTTCCGACATTCCCTGTGCCACAGATTACCTGATCAATCAGTTTGATCTATATATTTAGCGTCATCTCGTACATACTACCTATCTACGTGTTGGACAACATGCCCGGTGCAGAATCTATCATCCAACTCAGGTGTAAATGCAAGGTGAGTGTGGCAATATACAGCCTATATTCCAAATAGCTGCTAATATGTCTATTAGAATGATCCCTGGGGTAGAAAGGGCCACCACTCCCTGGCCGCCCGACTAGCGTCCAACACTCCCGGGACGGACTTTAAGATTGACGAAAATCAGTATTACTCTGAGGTGAACACAGTGCATTTTTCTCTGTTGTTGTGTCCTAATCACTGATAGATGGTGGATTAGATGTGGATGGGAACGTATCCCAGCGTGCTGTCCTACGTGCTCTCTACCGGGGAGCCGCTCGGGGATTTTCTGAAGAAGAATCCGGATCTGCTTGGCAAGTCCGTTGTGGACAAGTTTGGGCCTGATTTACCATTCCTACCCAAGGTGAGATCAACGATCCTGCCATGATGATATGGCGATCTTGGCTGATTGCTAATGGGCTAGATCCTTTCCATGGACAAAGCCCTCCCGCTGCAGATCCACCCCGATCGAGAGCTGGCCAAGAAGCTGCACGAGAAAGACCCGCAGAAATTCACCGACACCAACCACAAGCCCGAGATTGCGGTGGCGCTGTCCAAGTTCGAGCTCTTCGCGGGATGGAAGCCGCTGAACGACCTGACCCTGCTGTTCCAGCTGAAGCCGCTGCAGCGCTTCATGCCTGGGCCGACCAATTTCAACGACGAGACGCTCAAGCGCGTGGCCCAGAACCTGCTCGAGGCGCCCGACAATGTCGTCGCGGAGACGGTGAACGCGCTCATCGAGATGCCCGAGTCGGCCTTTGGCAAGTACCCCTACATCCCGAGCATGCTGGATCGGGTGCGGCGGCAGTACTCGGACGTTGACAACGGCAACCTCGTCGCGGTGGTGTGCATGAACTACATGACACTGAACCCGGGCGACTCGGTGTACGTGCCTGCGGACGGGATCCACGCGTACCTGTCCGGGGACATTGTCGAGTGCATGGCGCGGTCGGACAACGTGCTCAACACGGGGTTCTGTCCGCGGGCGGAGCGCGACAACGTGGCGCTGTTCACCGAGGCGCTGAGTTTCTGGCCGCACGCCCCGGACGAGGCGCTGCTGGGCCGACACCCGAGCGACAAGGCGGAGAAGGGCAAGACGGTCGAGTACGCGCCGCCCATCAGCGAGTTCCACGTGCTGGCCACACATCTGGGCGCGGAGGAGAAGGAGGTCATCAAGCCGATCAACGGGCCCAGCATCATGGTCGTCACGAGCGGCGACGGCCGCATGCACGCGGGCGGCAAGACGATCGAGCTGAAGGAGGGCTATGTGTTTTTTGTCGGGCAGGGCGTGGGCATCGAGTTTGAGTCGCCTGTCAATGGCATGGCGATTTATCGGGCGTATGTGGAGTGATTGTCGGTAGATAGAGGACAAAATTGAAAATTAGTCGCAGAGATGAATTTGTCAGCTGTAGAGAAAATGAAGTCTTCATGCCTGTTCAGTTTACTTGAGTGTCGAGATCAGGATTGTTTGGTATTCTCCTGCGTAGCTACAGATACAGTATTAGTAGATATGTCTCCGGCGATGATCGATCATGTGACGTCATTAAATGCATTAAATGTTTTGCAATCCCTTGAAAAAGCACAGAAAGTAGAATTTCTTCCTAGCATATACCGTACTGGTCACTAGTGTCTCGATTCCAGATCACTCCAGACATATTCATAATTGACGTAGAGGAGCATACTAGCTGCAGCATCATTAATCATTATCATGCCCTATCTACTCCGTACTGCTAGTATAGTATGTTTGATAGCAAAAAATAGAATTCCTAGATCGATCGACTAAATTAGGCCCGGCCAGCAAATCGAGCATCGACAGCCAACCAATCCGTTTCATCCACGGCGGCCCGGCGCTTCGAGGCCCGCCAGCAGCACATCGTCTTGTAACAGTTGCAGAGAATGCTATTTTCGTCTGCAGAAGACTGACCGACTACTCGGATGGACAAACTTTATCTATCTTCAGTCCAACTAAATCAGCCTAACCAGGTATCCGCCGTATCAGACTCGACCTTCCCTGCATGTCATAGCGCGCATAACGCTTCTCCTCTCCAGTAAGAAATCGTACAGTCACGAGCATGGCACGTAGCGTTGGTCCTCGACCGATCTAGCTGCTTGCCTAGGGACGTCCGTACATACTAATAATGGTAATCGTGTATCTCAAAATAACCCTTCCCCGCGCCATATGAAACGATGGTCTGTCTCCAGCAGTTGTTTAGTTTATGCTTGCTTGCCTGTCTGCTTGCTTGCTCAGTCGGGAAATTAATACTTAGAAAATGCTGTCTGTCTGCTTGTTCTTGAATTTGCTTGCTTCGCTTGTTCCCTCGCATGAGTCCTACAGTACTGTGCTGTACATACTACTGCATAGCTGTCCGTCCCGCTGTGGATCTCCACCGATCCTCCAAACTGTGACTACATCACAATCTTACACCTACTTCTCAAAACGATGCTGTTATGATACGGTCTCCCTTCTGAGAAGGATCCTCGACTCTCGAGATCTCTCTCCACTCATGATCGTCGACGAAGCATAACCGAGTATAGAGCGCGGCCATGGCTTCACACACCTTCCCCTCGACCACCTCCCTCTCTCAGACGTTCGCTCTGGCTCTGGTAGCCAGCACATTTGCTCCCCTTACCCTCGCCCAGAATCTAGGAACCGATGCCCCCGCCAACGGAACAGATCCCTCGCCGGCCAGCAGCGGGGACGCGGCGGCTGAGAACGCTGCCGGAGCAGCAGGGGCTGAGAACAGCGGTCTGTCCAAGACGAGCCAGACCATTATCGGGGTTGTCGTGGGGGTTGTTGTTCTGGTAGCAAGTAAGAAGTCTACTAGACAAAAAAAACTGAAAACAAGAACAGTAGTATTGACACTCTGATCGACAGTCATCGCTGCAATCCTGTTCTTCCTCGCCAAGAAGCGACAATGGGACCGACAAGCGAAACGCTACGAAGCTATGAATGCTTATCGCTCGTCAGCCAAATACCATAATGCCAGGGCTGGTCGATACCACGAATTGTCCCTAAGACAGCACCGACGATGGGCTGGCGCGTCCGTGGTGGCCGACAGTCCCGAGACAAGCGCGGTGAAGAAGAGCCCGCCGGTCGAGCCTCTCCTGCCCGTGTACGATCCATCGACGTACCATCGACATCAGCTGAGTTCGGGATATGGATATGGCTATGATCGGGGTGCCTCCTTCGACTTGTCCAGGGCACCGTGCTCGAACGAGGTATTCGTCGACTATACCAGCAACAACAGCAACAACAACAACATCTGCTGCTGCTGCTGCTGCTGCTGCTGCTGCTATGCCGTCAAATCAACCTCACTACTCGGACACAACCACCACTACGACTCCCACTGCTGCTGCTACTACCACCACCAGCAGTGTCGCACCACCACCTTATTCTTCACACATGACGAACTCTGGATCTAGTAACGGTAGCTCGGAAACACAGTCTCCTCCACCTGCTGTCGAATCGGGCTCAGGCTCAGATTCAGGCCCTCGACCGCCACGACGTCCGAAGCCTGTTCTTGCGCGGCTGATCACTGATCTATAAGATGATCTGGGAATGGACATATTCAGACACCTATTTCTCCTCATACGACGACCATTGATACCTCTCGAAGAGGTATGCAAGACAGACAGACAGACAGCATCAAACAAAAACTCCACAGGTTGGATGATTATCTACCGTCGACGCGTCGACATAAAGTACAATAGTGCAGGCACACGTACATACATCATGGCACTGCCTTACATCACTTTTGTGATCTACTACTCAGTCAGTCTTCACCCTGATTCGAGGGATCGAAACTCTTTATATCACCAATGGAGTCTTCTTTTTTTTTCTGGGGAGGGTTCTGAGAATTTAAGCATTGGAGTTAGGATGGATGGTTTAAACGGTTTACGGTTAATGTCTCATCTGTGTTATGTTTATGTTATGTGTATAGGTTGGTGGCATTTTACATTTATACATTATATATTGTCCTTATGTATGTTGCATTGCCATGCTGGATAGGATGAATAGAAATAAAAAAAGATTTGGTTAAAGGAGCCTCCTTGTCTTGTTTGCTTGGATAATATAGGCAATGCCGGCATTGTTACAAACATGCCAGAGTCCACCGTCGAAGCCTATGTGATCGAGGAATTGTACCGCAATTCTACAAAAAGAAATTCAACTCGAGGGATTACCCCCCACATATCTGGATATGCTTAATCTGCGGAACTTTACCAGCAACAAAGCAGACAACGTTCATCTATGGTATTTGGGAAATCCATAAGGCGCATGTCAGACATTAATGACCAGAAACCACGGAATATGCTGGTCTACAAAGACAACCAAGAGAGGGGTGGTCTGGATTGACTTTGATCGCGGTGATGCGTCCAGTACCATGAAGATCAGTTGACGGATAGGCAGAAGGAACTCTGAAGGAGGAGGATGCCTGTGAAGTTGCAGTGCTTTTGTGAGATATATAATTGTCTCTTTTTATGGAGATTAGAACCCTAAAATTAAGTCCTCAACAGAATCTTTTTATTTGACGTGAGTTGAGTATCCAATCACTTTCTGTTATATAAGCTCAATGAAAGACAGATTCCACATGAACTCTAGCCAGGTTGCGACTCACAGTAACTTGATAAGAAAATAATTATACTCTGTACCCCAACACAAGATGATCTTGCGATGGATGGTCAGGGATCGGGACCATCGTCTTATGGGAATCATCAACGATCCTCCTCATCAAATGGATTTAATCTAATAAACTCACTGCCACCCTCCAGCGCGGAATAACGGGCGTTTCTACTGGATGATATCCAAGCGGGGGAGCTAAAAGCTACCGTTCCTAGAACTCCGTACGAACCTCAACGTTGCTTGCTGCCCCGGATCGACGATTCCACATGACAGACAGCAAGCAACACTGCCTAGTGCAGTCAATGCCACCTCGACCTCCCTATCTTCCCAGTCTGCTTATCAAGGACGATTGACTGATCACCGGATGCAGGTCGAGTCAGTCGACTCGTGACAACGCTCGGATTGACGGTGGTAGCCGCCAGCCCCCAGTGGAGATCGCCAGTTCAGCTGCCACTTAGCACTCTGACTAAGAAGAACCCATGTCCCGTCGCGCACATGAGGACGCGACGCGCCAGTAGATCACGGCTAGGGTCGGTTGGAGAAGAGCGCCTCTTCACAGTCCTCTGTATGCAGCATAAGAGCGAACGATCTGAGCATAATTCAGCCTCGACGAACGTTCTGGATGCTGAACGTCGCCGTTAGACGCCCTTATCGAGGCTGGTCGTCTCCCGACGCTCCACGTCGAGGGGCTGTTATTCCAACGTGTTAGCAGAGGCGTCCGTGTCACTGTCAACTCGGCCCTCAGCGGGGCTGTCAAGGTTTAGATCCCGCTCGCGATCACGCAAAGACTGAAAGTTGTTGGGCTTATCGGCTTTGCGGCGGGTGCAAGCTAGCATCTTGCTTGGGACCGCGCAGCCAGTCCTCCGCCGCCCTTTGCAGCAGTCGGCAGCTTAGGATCCGATGGCCGGCGTTGGCCTCCGTAACGGGCGATTAGATCGTTATCTGATTGGCGTTGGGCGCGTTGTGTTGGATCGTGATGTTGCGCCTCAAGCAGATAACCGCGGCCATGTCTACGAGTATCTTTCGTTGGAAGGTTGCTACGATGGTTTTTCAGTTCGAAGTGCCACGGACATTGCAGGTACTATGCACATATACAGACATACTAACAGAAAAAGCCAGATCACGGCAGTTGGAGCGGCATCGTAGACGGCCTCGACAAGCACATCCATGCTCTCTAATATAGTTGCCGACCGGAGCATTTACCGGCGCTTCTAGAGACAAACGAACTTGCCGCGGAGGGAACCTAGCAGGCTGACAGCTGAGTCGATCGTACCGCGTCTAGAGGATAGAGGAGCTTGTCGTCTGGCACCGCCGGGGTCATTGGCTGCGTCTCGTCCATGGACAGACGAAGTCGACAACAAGGACCGCTGGACAAAGCTCAAAAGAGCCTTACACAGTACAGCCCAGATGGACAAGGGCGAGGCTTTCTCATTTGACCTAGCCCCTCCCCCATGCAGTTAACCTGCTAGGCTGGCTCGGTTGGTGGCGGCTGTTTTGCGTTGGATGTCCTACGATGCAATGGTGCTTGGCTGCGCCGCAAACTCCCCCAGCCTGCTTCGGCAATCCCTCCCCCCTCCTCGTTGACCTGTGCCCATCATCGCAGCGTGGAAAAAAAAAACAATATCCTGTGCACCCGCCGTCCGGTCCCAAAGTTCTGGAAATGGGGGGTAGTCGGCGATATTATATAGCAGACCCTCTCCAGACGTTCTGTTTCTTTGTATCTTTCCATCGCTCCCTTCCAGCCGTTTGGACTCTGGTTCAAGAGTGCAGTGCTGGTAGGACTGCAGGCCTTTAAAGTCCTTGTGCTGACATTTTTCTCCCTCTCTTCCCACTGGAGATGACGACCTATCTTCCGGTACTCAGATGAGTCCTCTGCTGTCCTCGCCAACACCATCCATGCTTCTTGGTGGCATCTTGCGCTGTTCTCTTGTCGTCTTTGAGAGCTGATCCTTATTGGAGTCTGTCCAAGTTGTTGGCTGCTACTTTCGAAGCATCTCAATTTGTTTTCTCTGCTTGACCCGGGCATGTGTTTCGGTCAAAAGATGACGGTCAAGATGAATCCCTTCAAGTTGGGAAGGAAACGAGACCTCTCGTCCTCCTTGGACAGTCGATGGGGCGACCCTGCCATCTCCGCCCCGAACGAAGGTTCCTGGAACGAGATGCCTCCTGTGCAGCCTATCCGGACGGAGCCCACCCCAGTCAAGCCGAGCAAAGCTCGTCGATTTGTCACCATGCTTCGTCCCAAGGCGTCGGACTCGACAGAGCCCGTGGAGACGGGCGCTGCATCGTCTGTCCAGGGGGTTCGTGACACTCTGCCACACCACCCGTTGGTCGACCTTCGAGGACATCACGTTCCTACCTGGACTGCTGAACGAGGCCGCGATCGGATGCCAAAACCTGATACCGCAGGAAGAACACAATCAAGGACAGACTATCGGCAGGAAAACACCACTAGTTACTCAACTCCCGCAGACGGCCGCCCCGAATCTCGGAATGGCTCCGAGTGTTCCAGCGAGCCTGATGAGAGTGCTCATATAAATGAGACGACCGCAGAGACAAGAGCTAGATCAGCGACAGACACCCGAAAGAGTCCTCCATGGCCCAAATCGCCACCGCTCGCCGCCACCGCCCGAATGCGTCGGTACAGCGAGCAAAGCATGAGTGTGAGCACGGACAGGATGACACCGTCTACCGGCACCTTCAGCTCGAGACACACCAGTATCACGTCGGCCACGTCTGCTACTTCTTCTTCTGCTGCTTCTGCGCTGCCACTCCTTGCGGAGGAGAGTCGTCCGGTACTAAAACTCGCTGCGATGCATCCTCCTCATCCCCCGTCCCATTCGCATCGGGACCACCAGACAGGCAAGTCTGCGACAGCCGGCCGTGCTCAGAAGCGACGTGATCGCGAGCCAGTCGGACCGCAAGAGCTCGTTCCATCATACGATGAGCTCTGGGGATGGTGAGCAGGGAAATGAAGACATGATCGAGGGCAAATACTTGGGGACATGGTGTTCAATAAATCAGCATTAACCGAGCGATCGGTACAGTCGATGACTTTTTTCTTTAATGACAGTATTGAATTATGCTTAAAGTCTCCAGCTTTGCCCAAGGTTAGATCGACTACAGTACAGTAAAGTTCTTACGTTTGGTACGTTATAATCATTGGCCAATATAGGTACATTACGTGTACTGTACCTAGGTAGGTCAAAATATCGTTCAAAAATCTACGAGCAGCACACTCTTGCCTCACCTGGACACTGCCGCTTTAATGGGGTGAGCTGGGTGAGTCGGGTGATCAACTCACCCTCTTGAGGTGATTTGCTCACCCGGCTTCGTTTATACTCACCCTATCCTTACCCCTCTGTCCTTCGACGCTTATATTAGTTGGCTAGCATCTATCCAAGAAGCATCTATACATTAAATAAATGGAAAATTGAGGGTTGTAGTAGGTCACTCCCTATAGCCCCTAAAAGACAAAGGAATGATGGTAGTATCCCGCGCCCCTGTTCTATTCTCTCTATTCTCTCTGTCTTTTATAGCCTTACCTTTCTTCTTGTTTTCTACCGCCTTCTACCATGATTTTATAACTATTTTTTTGTCTATATACCTGTATAGACTTGTTCCTCTCCTTCTAGTACAAAATATTACTAGAAATCTACTAAAATACCTAAGGTAAAAGTAGATAGACTTGCTTATGCTAAAGTAAATAGCTATTTATAAGGGGCATATTGAGAAAAGGATAGTATAAGTGCTGAGAATAAATACTTAGATAACTCCATTAAACAATAAGACGGCAAGAGGGCGCAGTCGACGCTGTTCTTGGCCATCGATTTGCCAGTTATTCTTCGACTCAATCCTACTTATCTCTCTGTCACGCAGCGTGGTTGCATCCTGTGTCTTGGACCTTCCGCACTACTCTGCCTTGTTTCGCTTCTCTCTTTCTCGCCGTCCCCCATTCCCTTGAGGCCGCCAAAAATGGCCTCCTTTCAAATCGCCCATTATAAATGGTAGCCTTTCCCTTCCCTGCAAGATGCTCCCCCCGAGTCTCTTGCTGATAATTTTACCAATCTTTCAAGAGGCCTTCACACCGGAAGTCCTCCAAATATATCCTCTCTCTTCTCCTCGCCATCAACTACTCACATATCTTCAGTTTTTTACTCCGTGACATCTCCGCAATATGGCCTGTCGCTGTCGGAAGGCCAACTACCAATCATCCGAGAGAAGAGCGACTATTCTCATGGAGAAAGCTCCGACGACAATAGATACGATGCAGACCTGACCCACTATGATAAAGAACAAGATCAGTAGAAGGATGCCGGCAATATGGCCCAGCTCTTTGCGGATAATGAACGCCTGCTGGAATACTATATGCAGCAACTCAAGAACTCAATAAGACTGTCTACACCCATGAAGGTTATAGCGAAGGTACTCTCTCCACACTTAATTGGCTCGAACAAAAATGGTTCCAGTAAGTCACAAGCGCTGGCCAGAGCTCCCTTGATATGTTATGCTGACTGTATATCTGTCCAGATTCTGTGTCTGCATTTAGAGAGACCCTCAAGAGGAGTTCTTGCGCTTGGTGATCAGAAATTTAAAGGGGTCAATCTTCGAAATGTCGATCGGGGTGACCTGGGTCCACTGATCTTGGGATAAGTGTTGCACATCATCTCTGGTACTTAAGAACTGACGGATCTGAGAATACTAGTTAGTCAAGGTTAATATTAAGGCTGATAGCATCCATCCTCAGGACACTCACTACGATGGAGTTGAAAACTTGGAAGACTTTAAGACCATCCGGAAGGATATTATATGAAAGGTTGCCAACGCATGCATTGCTTTTTCAGAGAAGTGATTATCATTCCTGAATGAAAGCAGTCAGTGTGATGCTGTATGCTTTAAAGCAGGTAGATTTTCACTATGGCGTCCATTTCATCTCCAGAGAGTAATACGACACCGCACCTAAGGTAGTTTGCTAAAGACCACCATTTTCTTCCCTTGATATTGTTTTCCTGAAGGTTCTCACAACGACGCTTTATTAGCTCTTGTTTTAGTGCTAATCTGCGTAGTACATTTTAAGGTCTTGAATTCTCTGCTAGTATATTAATGCCTTCATCTGTCAGTGCCACTGCTGATGGAGCTGATTGGTGTCTATCGCCCCTTAATGTATCTCACCAGCCTACCGCCATCACATCCTTGCGCGTCAAACGAGCGCATGGGCCACTCCTTGCGGGTTTGGTATCAGATCCCGTCGTCGCCAACAGCAGTTCGGTCTAGGCTTTGAGGCACGGTGGCTGAGCTCATGGCAGTGGGAAATCGCGCAACCGACGATACGGGCGGTGTAGTATGGATAGGCTCGTGGTGGAGTTTGAGAATCTTACAATATTCTGATGATCCTACACGTGCCTCCATTGTCTTTCTGAGTGACGCGAGTATACCCTCTTCCCTATTTTTGAAGTCAAATTGGCGTTTAGTCTGCATCTGAGAGCAGTATCATAGGTATGCATCTTATAAGCGTAGAATCCCTGTCCTCACACCCTGAATGGCATGTAAAAAAGCAAAATGAAAGCGAATCCAGTCCACCCGCGCTGGAATCTAACCTGGCCATAACTATGCTCGATGCTGCATGCCCGGTCTAATAGTCGACTCCTAGCCAGTACAGAACACAAATCAACAAGTTATGCCATCTAAACCTGCATCTTCACCAGCGTAGTTTCCATAAGATCTATTTTTAAGTGCTTTCGTTCATGGCCATATTTGGACTGTTAATAAAATCGTGCATGTCAGTGATTCACCAAACCAACAGGTCCATCCCTCCTTTTAAGTTTTGAATCATAGACTTGGTAGTTGCTGTAGTCAGGGCTGAAGATAATATGATAAAACCATGGAATGTCATCATCTAGATTCATAGTCAGCATCAACACCAAGAAGATGAATGAAAGAATGGCTATATATACCTTGTGACTTTTGTGGAATACTTTTGCGAAAGTCGGGGAGAATAAAGTCCGTGATCTGCCCTGATGTTATCCAGGGATAGTATCTACCGCCTTTCAAAAACCGCTTGACATGCTCATCCAGCTTCGATCCATCTCGAACACATTCAATCGCCCAGGTCATTTTTTGAACAAGGAAATCGACCCTACCGTTTTTCCTCTTTCCGCTCCACTCTGACGACAGGTAGATGTTTCCAAGTAAAGAATAACAGGATCTATACATCTCATCCTGATACACTGCCTCAAGGGGACGACATTCCGCACCAGAGCCCAACCTCCCCACAGCGGAGTTCAAGGCGGTTGGGCTGAACCTTTTAATTGCTTCCATGCATAGCTTCTCAACAGAGGGGTATTCTTTTTCCGGGAAAGGTGGCGTGTCCCTAGACAGCAGCCATTCGACACATTTTAAGGCAAAAAAGGATCAGTTCGATACCGTAATAGTGGTTAGCAATACAAATACTTACCGCTGATGTAGGACTGAAGGGAATACGTAGACTGTCTTCTCCAGACCATCTATGTCTTCCTTGGGTGCCAGCTCGGCCTGGAGCCATCCCTGGCGATAGCAGATGTTGACACATTCATCAACCTGGTGCAAATTTCCCTGTTCATCGGGCTCCCAAACTCCCTCTACACAGCTGGACAATAGAACATTTCGGAGCACTTCTACAACCCCGGGTTTGCGCTGCAAAAACTGCCTCGGCGGCAAGCCGCGGCGGAGCGCTGGTTCCACAACCAGTTTTGAAACCAAGTTGGTGTCTTCGCCTAGGACCCTGAGAGCAATATCGAGCGGTATTACCGAGCTATTCTTCCTGAACTGGCGTATGTCCTGGACCAAGAAAGCCAGTAAGCGTGAGACCCGCATAAGTTTATGTTGATACTAACCTCAGACGTAGCCAGGATCTTCAACGTCGCTCGCACTGCCGCGGGATGTCCGTTCGTAATTTTCCATACATACTCTACCACGTCTGGATCTGGTAAGAACTTTTGTCCATACTGCGCCTCACACTCTTTGACACGCTCAATTACATCAAGAAGCTCAGCATGAGTAAAGAAAACTGACGGAGCCGATTCTTCGGAAGGTCGAATTGAAATACGTTGTCCGTCGCTAAGATAAATCGGAGTTCCTGACAGTGCTTCGGACCTACTTGTGGCGGAGCCCCAGGAGGAGAAGAGAATAACCATAGGTGCATGTTCGGGAGTTATGTATTTGATGAAGTCATCCCAGAGACTCCCACAAGCATAAGAACCTTGGGCCTCATCAATTATGAGTAGGGCTTGTAGCCGCATCCAGTCGAGCTGCTCATTCTGAGGGACGTCAAAGGCATAGTTCAACAATTTTTCATATCCGCGTCCGAGATTTTCGGGGAGCTTCACCGGCCAACTGCACCACAGAACGGGGAGCTCAGGATTTTCTCTTTGGACGTACTCCTGTAAGAGCCGGGACAATGTTGACTTCCCGCTGGCAGGGGTGGCCCGAACGTGGACAATGTGGAATTGCTGAATGCGCTTCCACAACGCGGAGACGGTTTACTCTCTCGGACATCGTGTAGGATCATCAACCAATCTAAAAGGACGACCGCCTTTAGGGTCTTTCATCAGTCTCGAACAACCATTTATCGAAATGTCCATAAGTTAAATCTTACCTAGAAACAGCTTCCCAACAGCGCTAGAATGATGCTCATCATTCGACTGTGCATTCTCATGATCTGCTAGCTTATGAGTGCACTCTTTACATAAAGTATCATCAGAAGTCGGCGTGTTGTATCTTCCAGCCGGACAAGTGCATTCTGAGAACATGAACGGCTGACGGGGATCTCGCGCTGTGAAAGTGCATCGTCCTGACATGACGACGTGCGATGATGGCTGGGAAGACTGACGGCTGGACCTAGGCACGTTACCACTCCGACTTGAAAGACATGGGTCTCGCTGCACAAGGTCAGCTTTTGTTGGATGGAGATGGGTTGGTGCTTGGTGGTTAACTGAAAATGGTCGCGAAAGCGGCCCAGAGTTGTTATTTGTACATGCCATGAGGGAACAGGAGCCATGAGGGAACAGGACAAGGCCACTGTTCTGGATTGGCAACTGCGAGGAACAATATGGATATCCATATAGATGGGAGGTTCAGCCAGGGCGGCCAAAAGCGGCAAGATCCTGCACTATCTCCAGATCAGTAGACACATGACGTGCCAAACCCCATTGGGCAATGGAATCTCCGTAGTCAGCAGGCAGTCAGCGCGCGGCCGGTTTTAGCGTTCCGCTTGCCGTCTGCTCAGATACTTAATCTTTAGAATAAAGTCTTAGAAGACTATAGGATATATTTATATAATCTATTATTTTTTATAACAGTAAATACAGCATTTAACAATCATACAGTTAGCCGGCTGCCAGAAACAGTGTCAACCGATGCCGTTTTCTGTGTCTCCCTAACCGCCCTTTCCCGCCACGCACCCTCTCAGTATCATGTGACTCTTGCTTCCCTGCTGGCTTCGACTACAGCTGCTCGTGCGTTATTTTGTCATTTCAACATTTAGTCATTCACCCATTCATTCACTGCCATTTCCTGCTGCAGCCCCCCCCCCCCCCCCCCTCCCCAACGCGATGACCTTTTTGGAGGGCAGGGGAGCCATCCTTCGCTTCTGCGTGCCTCTTCCGATCTCTACAAAAGGCACTCCTTTGCTCCTGTTCCTGACTGCTGTACAGACATTTCATCACTCATCGCGGCCCTCCCCCCATATCTCTGCCTGAATGAAATTTGCCTTCCTTTTACTCTTTCTTATCTAGTTTGCTCTTGCTGTACATCGAATTTTTTGTAAGAATATATTGAAACTGCTCTTTAATAAGCGTTGGATCCTCACATAGAGCTTATTAGTGATCGTATCTGTGGCTATATTTGGATTAAGATCATGGTAGCGATTGATAGATCTTTGGACTTAATATAGTATATTTAACCGGCTAGATAGTAATAGGCCGGCCATATCTCATATAATGGTGATTTGTGATGGTAGTCCCTGTTGATCCATAAATAATATCCGTTTCAAAAGCATAGATCCTTCAGCGGTAGTGAGCTTTTTGTTGTTTGGTGTTGCATCTATGTGTGCAGTATGCCTGTGTAGGTGGTGGTAGAGTGTTAGATGTGGCACATCATATGCCTGTACAGTAGCCTGTATGCTTTTAAATTGACCACTATTAAAAGCTTTAATTACAAGAAAGGTACAGCCCTCTTGATGAACTGCTGAATCTGCTGTTTTGCATAGCATTTTGGTAGTTAAAGTTGAAGAGTGTGTTGTGTAGTTTGACAGGATGTTTTGCTCAGTGATTAATCATAGTTAATAATAGTTAACTAAATCTTACAAAAGTCACTAATACAGCGCTATTTCACTTTCTCCTGCCAAATCATGATGCGGCAACTTGCAGTACTCAGCCTCACTACGCTGAGGGTCATATACCAATACCAACATTTGCAAGGATTTCTTCCAGCAATTTGTCACTGTAAAGCTATCACTTTTCTGTTCACAGAAATGTTCTTGACTGCATCCCAGGACATGACTTGAAAGAATGTCATCATGTCAGGCCTCAAGGTCCTTAGGTGTCATTGCCAGCATTATCCAAATTGCAGACATTGGTGCACAGGTCTCAATTAAGCTGCACACCTTCTACCACAAGAGCAAATAAGCAGACATCAACATGACTTCTTTCAAGCGATGTCTCACTTACCTGCAGCGTACTACAACAACTGGGCGATAGCCTCAAAACATGGTAGAGTGAGACTGTGCTCGCCAGACGCTTTTGGCACGGCAAAGGAGATACGAAGGGAATGTGAGAAAGTCTTCTGGCAGATCAAAAACGTGTATTTATCCAAGAGCAGACCCTGGCTATTTCCTCAGAAGCTCTATTGAAGTCTCCATTTTGCACAATTGTCATATCTATTCTATCTGAACGTTTTCCTGGTTGATAAATCAGGTAATGTCAGGGTCCAAAAAAAACAATGATTCAAGAATAAGACGCTGGGCAGCCAGCCTCAGTGGACAACAGGCAGTTCAAATCAATAATATAAAACAGAGAGCAAGAAGTCTACCAACGCAGAACACACTAATCACCACATAGTGCCATGCCCACATTGTATATAGGATGAATGATGCTGTGGTTGTCCAATCCTAAGTCTATCCTGTGTCTGTTTTTGACTCTTATTGGATATAGGGTATCTTAGATGTCAAAGACAAGAATAAACTAGATATGAGGAAAAATAATAATACTAAGAGGGACCAACTTCGGTGATTGATTCCTAACCCAATCTGGTTTGTCCAGAACTTGCTGTCGGATCTGCTAAGTCTCTGAGGCCTAGGAGCAACCACTGCTTCCAACATGCATACTATTATGTGTCTACCTGCTTCCCATTGGCAGGCATGGCACAATAATAATTGTCTGCATTAGATGGGATTAAGAACTGGCAAGGTGATGAGTGTCCCACAGAGAGACAGGTTTGTTAGGATAGCTCCAGTACATATGGCGATGCTGCTTCACCTTGACCCTGCAGGTAAATGCCTTGTTGCAGATTGGACAATAGACACCCTTCACCCTTATGTATTTCTTGCCATAGTAGGCTGCATGACTAGAAATTGTAAACATGGCATTATATGTATGGAACTCTGCATAGGGACAGGGGTACCTGTTCTTGGTTATTTAAGGTGCAGTCACCTTTACTAAATAGCCATATAGTTCTCTTGGTGAAGCAGGCTCAATTAAAGAAACTAATTCTTAAATTAAGGATCTTCATGGAGAGGGATGCTAGGTCTGACACTAGGAGAATAAAATAGCAACAGAGGTATCCTCGTGGTCTCTGAATTGCAAGATACATATGTTGGAGACTGTGATGGAGCTGATGGAGGAACTATAGAGGGCCCAAGTAATATTAAGGAAGAAGGATTGTATCAATATTTGTGGTGAATGGATTGTGGGGAGGAATGTTTGAATGTGCCTGTAGGGGTAGCAGAGGGAGATCTGAATAATCTACGCACAGCAAAGGCAGGGTTATCGTCATTGTTCAAGATGGACAGCATGGTCATTGAGTAACCACTTATTTCCGAGCAACAGGTAGCCAGGTCTATAAGATAGCCACATCCAGATTTGACAAATCATTCAGATTGCAAGTAGAAATAGAGAACATACAAGATGACTGGGAACACCTCCTTTTAGGTGACAATTCTTGTCTGAGACTGCTGTCAATATGAACTTCACCAGAAATACCAGACTGTAGAATATAGGCTTTGAATCTGTAATGGAGCTAGGCAGACTCAAGAAGACCTGTGTCCAGTCTGGCTATATAGTTGTCCAGCGACAGAGTCCTTTGAGGGTCCTCCTTTCCTGCAACACTACTATAAGCAATGGGCATTGTAAAAGTAACAAATAGAGACAATTCAAGATTTTATACATGATGAAAGATAAAAAAAGAGATGTCGGAAAGGTAAGAAATGGAAGGAATGCTTTTCTAAGATAGTGATAATGATAATAGAGGAGGCTAAAGACAAATATCTGAGGAAACCAAGTAAGAAGTATTGATGGCCTAGGTATGGCATAAATACACCACAGACCCAAAGAAACTGTAGAAGTGAATGATATTTGGAACAATAGCTTTCAATGATCTATTGATTGTTGTGACTACAATGGCTTGCCAACACCAATAGTGAAGAATCCACCATTCTGCTGCTTTGGAAGTATATTGGTACAAATATAATACCATACTTTCCTGAATAATTGGTGAACAGTGAAGAACAATATTCCTTTTCCCTTCAAGAATAGAAAGGCAGTCAAGAAGAAGATAGTGTACAGGCTGCAGCCTAGGAGTATGTAGCCAAGAGTACCAAGAGAAGATAGAAACAAGATAGCATATAGGCAGATATATGATATTCAGAGATTATAACTCACCCTCAACAATATATAAATATAGAGAGGCAAGTTATAGATAATGAGAGACGTGCTAGAATATCAGGTCTCCCTCTAGTCCCTGTCCAAGTCCATGAGAATGATCAATCTTGGAGGGGGGGGAAGGGGGGGGGGCACAGACTGAGTGACTGGAGTGATCAGATATTGGTAGGATACTTAGGAGAGGACTGCCTATATAGGACCCCAGAAAGCGTCGACATATGTCCTCCAGCCCTTCTTTATTCTGCGCTGGGCAGGTTAAAATAGTTGACGCAATAAGTATTAATAGTAATCAGTACCATACATTGATAAAATCATAATTTTGCACAGGAGGTTCCACAGTAGGAACAAACATAAGAGAATCATTATTAGGAGTTGCATTGTCAGGTTCAGTTTCAGTGATAGTCACTTCGTTGGCCATTTCAGGAACAGCATTTGGAAGAGGAACATACTCATTCTGATAAACATCGTGCTTGTCATTTCCCGGAGAACAGTGAGACAAAATACGACGCTTTTTCTCAGAAGGCTTTCGAGGAGAATACTGATAGTCTGGATAATCCTCAGCGTGTTTGCGCTTAGCTTCATTTGCAAGGGCTTTGAAGTGAGCTTTAACATGCTCAGGTTCATTGTTCCACTGTTTTCCCAAGGTAACAGCTAATATCATTAGCATTTTATCAACAATAGACAATGAAAGGGAAATCATACAGATGTCATTGTTGTGGAATTCTGGATGTGCTTCTTTAATGATTGGATGATAATGCTGGCGATAAAGAATGAAAGCATTGGGAGGACGGGGGATTTTGGCCTTTTTGCCAGAACCCTTTTTGCCAGAAGTTTTGTTCTCAGGCTCCACAGCAATCTGCTGGGTATCATTTGGGATCATTGGGACAAGAGTATGGGACGCAGCATCGTTGGTAGAGCCAGTGAAAGGAGGGCTACGCATAATGCGAAAGGAGTTCATTGAGTTATCGACAAATCCCACCACAGGAGCATGGATCAAAGCGCTGACTCAGGAATGAGCAAAACTCACGATAGCAGAACACAAAGGAGACTTACCAGAGACGAGCTTTGATCTCTTCGATGTTCTTGTTTCCAATAAGGTCAACGATATTCAATGGAAGGAGAATTTCATTGTTTGTGAAGTTGAGATGACGCAGAGCGTCCTGCCAAAGCAATTCAGTCGCTTGATTTAGCAACTGGGAAGAATTTATCACTGCAGTAGGTGTTGCCATCTCTGCAAAAGTCGAAATCTTGGTAATGAAGGCCTTAGAAAATGTGTGAGGAAAGGAAAGCAGAGTACTGATCTGATGAGATTGTTCACGATGGAGTTGAAGTAAACACTAGGGTACAAGATATTGAGAATTAAAATCTTTTTGATAAGTAGAGGATAATAGAGGGATGTAAGAAGATTAGCAAGGGAAGTCAAGGTGAAGGTTACCTAACTTTGTGGAGCTTGCCAAGTGGAGGCTGGTTTCTTTGTTTACCATGACAAGTGAATTCACTTCAATCAGTCACAGGTGATTCCAGTCACGGGTGAGTCACTTTCTCTTAGCAACCAAATAAAATCAAAACAAAAGAGACATTTCTCTTTTCTCTCTTTGTCTGCTGTCCTCCATCAGCTTACTATCTCACCAATACTCATCAGACTTTGCAACATACCTTTGGATTTCAATAGTTGTTGACAATCTAATCAAAACAAGCTCAGATTTCTCACTGCTTCAAAATGGAAGAGCTTCTCGTCTGCTTCCTTCTTATTTTCCTTCGGGTCCTCTCCCAGGATCCTCAAAAGGAGCCAGAACGTCGGATGCTCGCTTTCTACATGCTTGCTATCTACGAGAAACATCGCAATGGTTTTCGTCTTATGGCCCAGTTCCATGCTTTTTGCAAGCGTGAACTAAACATTCCCCGGGCCATAAACACAAATCCATTAGCAAATCCTGGAACTCTTGTCGTTCGCTGTGGCGATATTATCGAAAACATCGTCCACAAATATGGAGTAATTCCGACCATTGCCGATTTCGAAGGTCATCCGTGTGAACTTGTTACCATTCTGCCTCAGAGACTTGATCGTGCGATGCCTTTCCAGATGAGACTCAATATGCACAAACAGATGCTTGTCTACGAACGTCTTGCGGACATCCAACTTGCGTCATACGCTCGTAGATATGGTTATCACTACATTTTCCGAGCTGGCCTTCGTGAATATTATATGACGTAAGTATAAGTGATCATGGACCTTCAAGTTTTAAGATTATTAACAGATCCAACAGGAAGGTTGTCGTTGAACACTACAATTTCTTAAGAAACGATCAGCGCGGTAACAACTGGCGTCGCCAGACACAGGCGATCTTCTACGAAGCGATTGACAGAACTCCTGGCCTCAGCCTTGAAGAATTGAGAGCTCTCATTATGGCCACTCAGTGCTTTGAAGAGGATGTCTTTTTTCTTCGTTAGTCTCTATCCTCACATTCACGTTAACTCAACTAATCGGTGCAGGAAACTGGCTTGTTTCAAACCGTAAGGCATATCTTGCAATGAAAGAATGTATTGCTCAAATGAATAATGTGCACTGTGAGGATTTCAAAAGAAATGTTGATATATCTATTAAATTGGACTAATGTTCAACTACAGAATCAAATTCCTGGGTCCGAAATCAGGAATCTGCGTCTTCTCAAGGTTAAGCATTGAACGCTAGGATGGCACATTGCTCTAATTCGCAGCCCAACACTTTTGTCCAGCGCGATTTCCCCTCTGTTTGCAAGGGAAGATGAAGCCAAGATCTAGTCCTAAGTGATTGGTCTTTTACTTTTGATCATGGCTCTCTGTTTTTTTGAATTGGACGGGACATGAATCTAGGCGCTCAATTTCCCAGCAGTGTGGGCTTGCTTTTTTTTTCCTTTTCATGTATGTCCTCTGTTGCTACACTACTTCAAAGGTAAAACAGCTGTAGGGCCATCCCACAATATACCTGCACTTACCGTTTCACTCATAGTTGAAAATCCAAGTAGTTTAATGTTAAATTGTCCTTCTGTGCATTGTAGACTCAGACGAGGTTACCAGTCTATGGAAGAAGATGGTTGAAAATGGTGAAGATAAAGAGAATGGAAACTGTGGTAAGAGAATTCGCTGCAGATTTTAGGAGAGAGTACAGGACCCCAAGAATAAGTTAATTACAACAGATAAAAGTTGTAGGAAGAGATTGACTGCAGTATGCAGTTGACACTGACTGCTGCTGTCTCTCACGGCATTATGATGTCTGGGATTTTGTTTCCAATTATTGCCCCATCTCACTTCCTCAATCTTTCTATTTGCCCTTCCTTTTTATACATGTGAATGATGCAGGTGACGGAGGAGCATTAACCCCCAGGTCATTCTCATCATTGGAATTGTCGACCAAGACAGGCAAATCTACCCTGGTTGTGAGAAGAGCCCCCCTTTCGATCTGGCAGATAAGTACCTACCTGGACGATGAACCGGCTCCTGCAGCCCTATATGCTGGCTGTCTAGCAGGCACATGGGAAGCACATTTCTGGATGGCTGTGTCGCACAAGTCCCAGCGGCCATCGTTAGATTGACCCCCTCCCTGAAACCTCCTATATCACGGGGTGAGGAATCGCCATGGCTTGGAGTCTATTAACCACAGTCACCTGCAAAAGAACGATCTGATCAGGCCCTGAGTATGCCAAAGTGTGGGCCTATTTACCTTGTAAACCATCGTTGCTGGCACGGCAACTGCAATCCTCTTCAATACTCCGCCTTTGGTCAAATGGGAGAGTATCACAAGGCAAGTCAAAATCCAATCCAGGCGCTGTTGTCTCCCGTGAAGCCTGATGAAACTTGTTCACATATGCAACAAGGCTGTGGGCTGTGGTACCTGTAGTCAAGCGGAGAGGGATGTTCAACGAGTGCGAATGACTGTCCAACGGCACATCCACTGGCGGAGTGGGGGGGGGATGGGTGGTGTAAAGCTTGCGCTGGAGGTAGTGAGGGCAGACAGGAGCACTGACGAGA